AAGTTAAATTACCAAATGAAAGACCTAATAACTTTCATGTTCTATTTCAAGAAACAGAAGACAAGTCTTGTGGGACTTACTCATCACCTACTGCAGAATGAACACTGCTGTTCCCTCGTCTTGCTTCTGCAATCCCTTTGGGCTCTCAGAAGCAAATAGCAAGCAGTAGTACAAGAGCCACATGGCCAACCATGAGACATCAGACAGTTCTTCCTGGGCTAGTTTAGATGTAGCCAGCTAGAGGCACCAAGCTCATCCATTGCATTTTAGGCCACAGATTCAAGCTTGCTATTTGCCTGTGTAGGCTAGGAACACCCAACCGAGTGGATACACAGAAATAATAACAGTAGAACTTGAAGGCACGGAGGAGGACATTTCTTGGTCACACCCATAGCAGTTCTGTTGAACACTGGTTTGTAATTGAGAAAGCAAACTCAGTGTCCTGGGCACATAGTCAGCTTATGTATTCTTGACTTACTTTGGCTGTTGAGCTGTAGAAGTTTGGTGTAAGCTTAAAATAGAGGCAATTCTGCAAGAAAAGTATGTTTTCTGTCATTTTATTCTTTCTTGGTTAACCAAAAGTATGTGGATGCTCCCAGTCTTGTTGGGCCACTGGGCTCTTCTAATCATCATGCATTTCATTTTTGTATTCAACAGAAAACCTTTCTCAAAGAAACCTGCATAAGGTAGGCAGAATATGGGAGTAGATATGACTCCTGAGAAAGTTAAATGGTACCAGAATTATGCCTATTTCTGTCCCTCATGACTGCATACTTTTTGTACATTATAGAAATATTATCAAATGATAAAATTAGTTACTATTAAAAAAACAATAGCTGTTTTGCTGGGTTTCCCTAAATTGCTATAATACTATATTAGGCCACAGATCACTGTTGCCTGACTGTGCAGCAACACTTCAATCCTCACTTTTCTTCCAACTTACTGATACCAGGAACTGGTATTTTTGTGTACTGGAATCCATACCCAGCATGGCCCAAAAGACTCCCTCCTTGTCCAGAAATGGATTCTTGTGGATATTCTTTTAAAACTAATAGTGGAACTTCTCTGATGATGACAGGCTTCTCTCTGACACAAATTACTTACAAGATCCTATTTCCCTGGAGATTAATTGTTTCAAACTTTTGTCAACCCCAAGCTCTCCTTGTCTGGCGTATCCCTGGGTCAGGCACCTTCTTGAAGCCTGGAGCTGAGCTCCTTTTTCTATTTTGTTCTGTAATATTTTGGCTGATTTTCTTCACCATGTTATCATCACCATTAAACAAAGGCGGCAGTGTAACTCCAACACCTTCATCACTATTATTCAAAGAACTTAGCAGATGTATCCACACTTTCATAGTAAATGAGTTTAGTATTTTCTTGAGCTCTGTCTTAAAGGTTAGTGGTTTGTTGCCCAGTCCCAGTGGTTTTTCTCTCCCTGCTCTCTTTTCTCCATCCTAACATTAGGCTGAAACTTATTCTTCAAGTGTGTCCAGCTAGTGGTTTAGACCTCGGGTTGTTCTGCTGGCCCCTGAGCTTTTCTGAGCTACAGAGTTCTGCATATCTGAACAAGTCAGCACACTGTGTTCTGCCAGCTTAAAATCTCTCAAACTCTTTCTCAGTTTTTCTATCTGTGCACAGCTGTCTTTGGATAAAAGCCATGCTAGCAGTGGTGCAATGGGACAATCAAAGGTAACTGCAGTAGGAATGACACCATGGAGGAAACGGTAGTTGTGATGGCCTAAGGATATGATTCAACAACACACCAATGAGGTGTAACAGCTCTTTGCCTCTAAAAGAGGAGCTCTCCCACCCCTGCTTCCTTCCTTCCATTCCTGCTCACAAACGCATGGTCTGTAGCTTGCACTGGAAGCGTCTGAAGTCATCAGTGTAGAATTGCTGTAGCTCTGCTGCGTGAAAAGAGGCAGCTGATGTACTGTAGAAAAATGGCAGGAAAATGTACTCTCTGCACGTCAAGACACAGCAGTATGTTGGATCATTCTCAGGGGAGCAGAACAGGGTGGGGAATTGAGGCTTTGAATAGAAACACATGCAAGAGCTTATAGAGCCAGTGAAAATACAACTGTAGCATAACAGCCCCCTAAGAGCTAGAAGTTATCATCAGAGGTTTTTTGGTCCTTGTGTTTAACTGAGTAAAGGGCAAAAAGAAGACTGCCAGTCATTGGACTCAGAGATGGAGTCCAACACACCTTTAGGACTGCAGTTCTTGGAAAATGGAAACAACCCCAAGCTGCATCTCCCCAAAGAGAAACCAAGTTGCTGCAAGATTACATCAGTGGATCAATAATAATACTCCTGGAGTTGCCATGCTGATTTTCTTCATTTGGTTGAAGCATGTCTGTGTCTTTTAACAAAGTACATTTTGCACTTCCACTTCCTCCATGGCAGAAAAACTTCTGATATATTCGACTTTTTAATTGATAAAGTGTTTAGGTTTCTGCTTCACAAGGACTTCAGCAATCAAAATATCATGGAATCACAGAACCATAGAATGGTTTGGTCAAAAAAGGACCTTTAAAGACCATCTAGTCCACCCCTATTGTTGTGGACATAAACATCCATTCCACTAGACTAGGTTGCTCAAAGCCCCATCCAGCCTGACCTTCACCCCCTCCAGGGACGGGGCATCCACAGCTTCTCTGGGCAACCTGTTCCAGTGCCTCAGCACTGTTATGGTGAAAAAAATCCTCCTTGTATCTCATATAAATCTAATCTAAGTCACATAAAACTGTTCATTAATATTGAGTATGCATACAGGTATGCAAACAGCAATTTACTGTAGGACAGGAGTATGGGTGCCATTATTTGTGCAAGAAAACTTTCATCTGGAAAAGCAAAGGCTGCAGGAATTACCAGCTGAAAATCAGACTAAAGATATGAAGATTTCATAAATACTGATCCAAGTCTTTTGTTGCTGTCCCTGGCTTTAATGACAACAGATCATGTTGAAATCTTGTGTAAATGATTTATAAAATTTTTATTATTTATCTAAGACACTGACCACATTTATGTCTTCTCTAATTGTGTTATATGTGGTCTCCTTTGAACAATTACACAGTTTACATTTTGATTAATTAACTAAATATCATAACAAAAACCCTAAAACAGTTTGAAAAACAATTCCAACAAGACTTGAAATTGTATTCTTTTAACAAGGCTGATTATCTTCTCAAATGAATGCCTCGGGACTCAGAGCAAACAATACATCAAACAGACAGAAGCCTCTTAATTGCATCCCAAACACGCAGACTATGCTGGTCACTAAAGCAGAACTGAATTTCTCCTTAGGTATTATCTTCCCACCACCAGTCACTACAGCTACAGCAAAGTACTAGTTTAAACTATATATATATAACATTTTTTTAAAAAGAAGCCACTGTGTTGTGTTTCAGTTATGAACACATATGGTGTGCCAGTCAGTCACAAATGAGTTTTGACACATTGCAGCAGCTCCCACCTCATAAATAAAACACAGGGTTTGGTCACTGAAAAAACGCAGGGCATGATAAACCATCTATCAACCAGCACAGATCTCCCCATTCTCTTCCTTGTCAGTGGGCATGGCTTGTCACTGGAATCTCTACCACAGCTGAATCAGTCACGAGTGAAATTACAGTGGGTATGTGTGCAGCAATCTGCAACAGATTCAACCACTGCCTAAACTCACCTCTCCATTTTCACATTAAAAAAAAACCAAAATATTTCCTAAATATGTATAGTATACTATCCATGTTCTGGATATTTACAGGATGCCAGAAAAAAAATCTTTTGGTATTAAGCTGACTTTTAAAAATGTTCATATGGGGAGAATTTGCCACTATGGTAGATCATTAAAGGTCTCTTTCCTTTGCATGATTTCATCTACCTTGGTTGTGATGAGATCCAGTGTGTTGATGCTGCAAAGCTCAGTGGTTTTGTTTATATACACAGTCAGTCTCAAAAGCTGGCATATTGCTAATAAATAAAGTATGGGGAAATATTTTCAAATTCCAGAATAATGATTTGAAAGACTGACAGTATTATGGCTATCTAGAAATTACACTGAGTACTAAAGCCTACACTACATGGAGTAAGAGCTGAGGATCTATACACCTCCAAATTAGGAAGCTCAAAGCAATACTTGTGACAACTGGCACCTTTGTATTTTCTATGACTCGTGCAATGACAATGTCACTCTTTACAACTGATGCAAATGATCTGAACTACTGTTGTTGCAGAATCATTACTATTAAAATGTCTAACTTACATAAACAAAAAACTTATATTAAATATAAAATAAATTGAGAGCGATATTAGAGAAACTAAAGGTAATTAGGATTTTTAGCACATACTGCTCTCTGAATACTCCCAGAAGTTTGTGGGTATCAAATATGTGATTATACAATCCCTGTAATAAATGCAGCTGTGTTTATTTCACTGCATGGATCAGACAAACTGTACAAGCTAAGCATTGGTGTCTTGTTCATAAATCAGTTAAAAAAATGTAGCACTGTATGCAAGATATACTCAGACCTTTTTTCTGTTCCAAGTGTTTTCAGACTTGGCAGAGTACACGTTCCTTAGAGGACTATGAACATGCCAAATTTTAAGCACTTCTAGCAAAATCATTTTTTAGTTGCTTCAAAAAAACCCATATTAATTCCTTGCTTAATAGCATAGGAATCAACTTTTAAATACAGTGAAATCCAGTTAAAAATGGTCTGTTTAGTTTTGCTTAAAAATAGGGTGAAAGAAGGTGTAAAGAATTTCAGCCTATTTCCTTTCCGGCGTAGTTTCTTTAGAAGAAAAAAAAAAAAAAAAGTTGACTGTATTTGAGCTTCCTTCCAGGAGTCTCCATTTTTGTCTCCTTCCAAAAGTTTGCAAATTTAGTCCCTCGTTGTACATACACAGAAAAAAGAAATAAAACCCAAACAAAACCAAAAACACAGTGTCACAATGACGCCTCTTTGGCTCTTCGCTGTGTCAATTTTTCTGTGCTTTGCGTTTCATGACAGTTACAATTGCAGTTTTGAATGCTAACACAATGGTTGGGATCCACAACCAAAACATATAATGCACATAGTCAGTTATTTTCCACTGAAGTCTATATAACTTTTTACAATGCTTTCTGTAGAGTTGGGTTGTGTTTTTTTAATATACCTTTAAAAGGAAGTCTCATTTAAACCCGCGATTCTATTATGATTAATTTAAAGAAAGCTTAAAATAGAATCCTTCTCACTAATATCTACTGTACCATACATTAGTCTTTATACAACTGCCTTCAGTCAAACAGGGCTGCTCGCATGCCCACTGTATTCCATCATGTATTTAAGCCTTAAACAATTTTCTCTGGAGGTCATCTTTATTCTACAGCAGTATGGTGCCCACCATCACAGGTATCCTTTTTGGAGCTGAGACCTCTTGCTGCTGTTTATCTTTCACATTTCCAATGCAAAGAAAAATGCTTCAGGTATTTATTATTGCCTTTGCTAATTAGAGCTACTGGAGTAAAATGATATTAAAAAGAAAACTTAGGAATACGATTTAGTGCATGTATTGCTTGGAAACAGTTTTCCGTACAGATTGTACACTTATTCTCTATAGGGAATGGATTTTTGTTTGGTTTTAGTTCTGCATTTGTATATATCTAACAAAACAGAGTCTGAAATTACAAACACGCTTTCTAATGTCTGTTTGAGAGAACAGACATTTAGTCAGTGGAACTTTTCAGCATTATGTCTTCTAGCCTGGAAAAAAATAGTCACTTGATGCTCTTAAAACATTGAAGCAGTTGTATTTGTACTCAGCCACCAAGCTACAGAGGGGGAAGGGAATTCAACTTCCCAAACAACACAAAGAAATTACTTGAGGCCAACTACAAATCTGACCAGGAAAAATTGCAGACTGCAAATAACTCACAGACCTACTTTATTACTATGATAACAATCTAGGTTATATTTCTAGAATATAACTTTATTTCTATAGCTGTAAATATAAGAGATATATTTCATGCTCTTAGCACATTCAATAAAGGGAGCCTAGCTGCTTGCCTTCACAGTTCTTTACAAGCATGATCTTCACAGATCATCTCACTGAGAAAAATTACTGGATTTTCTTGAGCTGAATTGAAGTTTCCAAATGAGACCTGTAATTGTGCGTATGGAGTTTACCATCATGAAACAAACAAACAAACAAGCATATTTGAGATAGTTTTATATTGTGTGGCTTAACAAGAAAATTGTAAGTTTGCCTGTAAGATGTGATGCCAGCAGAACCTTTGACAAAAATTGTGGTGGACCATTTAGATACAGGCTATCAAATTGCTTCCTTTTTCCTCTTTGGTCTTGTATTCATTTGTTGTATGGTCTGTGTGGTAGGAATTGCATTTATTTGCTCCCCAAATTTGTTTCACACCACTGAGATTCTTGGCGCTGACTTTCAGAGGTGTGTGCTGTACACACTACAGGTGAAGCTGAAATTGCTTTGAAAAGTTAAACTTTATTTACTGGACCTTCCCTAGCATGCCTATGTTACTCTGTACTAGCAATACTGTTCAGTGGCATTTCATTAAGAGAATGTGATTAGTAGTTCCTCCTGCTGACATTAAGAGTAAACACTGGCAAAGAAAATAAAACCATTTTTGTAGGCCCTTAGCCAAATTATTAAAACAACTGAGCAAGTATTTTATTTCAATTGTGACCTTAAGACTCTTTGGGTTTTTGTTTTGTTTTGTTTTTTTCCTGCAAGGTCTTACTCCTCTTGTGATAAATTACTGAACAGTTTAAAAAACAAGCTACAGAAAACAAAAGATGCTCCCTGGTTCTTTGGGATATAAGCTGCATGTTCTATCTTGTGCTAAATTAATCATAAACTGTTCAATATTTAAAAGGGGGAAAGAGCAGGTGCCTGCCAGGAACAGGTGTTACAAATGTTAGGTTAAATAAAATCCAACAATCCTTTCCACATATTATTTCCATAATATACATCAGAAAACATGCTCTGCAGTAATACCTCCCCAGCTGTGCAGAAGAAGAGCCTTTTGTCATGTGTCTTCTGATCTGGTCTTGTTGTTAGAATTTATTTTGCATTTTGGTTCACGAGGGCTCAGTTTTGCTGACTTTCATGGAATTCCGTAAACACCATGTTACCGATCTTAGAGTGATTGTAAACACTGTTACATTTACAGTGAGTAACCCGATGAGTACCTGCAAAAATAATTCAGCAGGCTGCCCAAGGATGGCGAATCTACCTAACATTTATTTTGATTTATTTTAAAACCTCATATGAAATTCATTGTTGTCTACTATTGAATGTGAATGCAGGAGTAGTGTCATATTATCCCAGCCTTTTCTCAAGTCTACCAATGGGTCGAGTCCCATGAGAAAGGTTATTATGACAAAAATAGTGAAATGTTGTGATAGATGGAATAATTTGATTGTAATGTATTTTAACATGTGGAAAAGCACTGTTCAAACAAGACAATCGTGCAAGATGGAAGTTAGTTATCATCCTTATTCTTCAGAAAACCCTACTCTTTTTACAATGTGCCAGCATCTAAAGCCATGGAAACACTTATGAAATAATTCTAAAGGAGAACACATTATACACTAGGGAACCACCAGTGCATTTATTAATAATCTTAGTTTTAGATCCCTGACAGAGTCTGAAAAATTGTATTAGGTTTGGAACTGTACCTGAAATACTGATTGTGTTGGCAGAGCCAATGACAGACTTTTTCTTTTTCCATCTGGAGCACTGGGATTGTTAAAACAACTAATGTGCATCTCTAAAGTGCTTTTTCATTGGAGAACTTGAATGCATATTGCAAATATTTAAGTATTTAAAGGAGGGCAAATGCAACTGTACAATAGCTTCTATATCTATTGAACACATATAGCATATTAGCATGTTTTTACATAACTAAAAATTGTGTAAGGAAAAACTCCTTCACGAGGACTGTAATGTAGTGCTGGAACAAGTAATCTGCATTGGTGATGGAGTCTCCATTTTTGAAGGTTTCAAGGCCTGGCCAGACAAAGCCACAGCTGACCTGACAGGAGGCTGTGTACAGGATATTTGTGCAGGTTTTATCTTGGATGTTTTTCAAGATAGGCTGGATAAAGCCCTGGGAATCTGGTCTATGCATGCAGTTGACCTCCTTTGACTTGGAGACCTCATGATTTCTCTTACAACCTGAATTACCCTGTGATGCTGTGACCTTGAGAGGTGCTTTCCAACCACTATTACTTCCATGCTTCCATGACACTGTGAATATGAAGTCCAGACTAACTAGCGGACACATTAATAACATTATTTAAACAATTTTCCAGGCATATAAAGAAATCAGGTGTTTAATTGTTTGTTTGTTTGTTAGTTTGTTTGTTTGTTTTCCCTGGAGACAAGACCAAAGCATACATCCCATTAAGAAGCTGAAGACAGAGCTGGAGACCCTTAGTTTGGGCAGGAATTGAAGGCCCTGGGCTGAGCTGAAGTGTGGTTCCTGGGCCCAGGTGAGGGGGTCCCAGGTGGAGCTGACCAGGGCCATGGAGGCCCTAGAGGCCTAGTTCTTGGTGTGACTGCCACTTTCCAAGTGATTCAGCAAGTCTCTTCTGTTCTTCCTCCTTCTTCACCTTGTTACTATGTTCTGGGTGTCTGAATCACCATACTGCTGGCCCAAGGAGGTGGTTTACTCAATACCCACATTCTGGCAAAAGATTTGTTTAGTTTTCAAATAGATCATGTATTTAATGTCTTAGTAGCTAATCAAGTATTGTTTTTTTTGCAGTAAGAACACTTTATAAGCACATAATACTGGTGGAGGTTTTAAACTGCTTGCTCTCATGTGTAATAGCACTGACTTCAATGGACTATTCATGCTAGAGATATGGAAACTGATAGTAATAATATAGAAGTCTAAATATTTATATATGCTTATATTACTTCACTTATCCCAGAGAGAGAGGACAGAGAGAGAGAAAGAGAGAAAGAGAGAGAGAGATACAAGGTAACATGTTGACACGTTTTCAGTGACATTTCTTGAGGATATACATGTTAACATTCTGTAAAGCAGAATACACGTGTGCCTTAACCCACGCAATTCTACATCCATATTAATCCAATGTTAATTAATTATACGTATAATTTTTACTCTGCTGCATTGCTCTTCACATTTAGCTGGCTGATAGATACACACACACACCTTGTTATACTGCTCCTTGCAAACCAGCAGTAAGTACTTTACTTCCTATGAACGAGTATGTCCCAACTGTGCTCTTTTCTGGAAGGTGATGCTACAGCAATGTCATGCTTCCATGAGTACAAGGTGTCACCCTGTGAAATATATCCAAGATTAATTATAGAATCTAAAGAGCCCAATGCTTTCATCACTGCCTGGGAAGCTTTTATAACCAACTTGCCATCTCATGTCAACTGAATAGCGTTTTCAGAAAGAAGAATCTGATTTTATTTTGCATGCATATCTCAATACAAAATACAGACTTAACTTCTTTGAAGTTCTTCTTCAAAGCATCTTCACGGGTGGGCCTCCGGTTCATAAGGAGATATACATGTAAATAAAATCAGATTCAATTAACTTTTTAATTTGCTGCTTTAACAATAACTTTGTTGCTATTAAAATATTGTTACCCTTGGAGCACTTCACTCAACAAGTATATACAAAAGCTACCACTGTAATGCTTGGTGGAGTTGTCAGAAAAAAAGCCTTATAAAGGAACAAAAAAGCCTTCTCTGGACTGTGAATCATTACCACAATGCAAAATTATACAAAAGCTCAGATAAATGGAGATAATCCAAACCACACTTTTTCTCCCTCCTGGTGAATGTATGATATCCTTATTTGATTCAAGGCAACAGTGTTATCAGCAATAGGATTTGTAATATCAAATAATGACCATGATACCTTTGATTATTTGATACTTGCTATTATCTTTTATAAGAAGTTAATTATTCATTATAAAATTACTTTCACTATGAAAACAAAGTCTGATGCTTTCCCAATTATTTGGCCTTGTAGGCTCTGCTAAATCAGATATAGAACTAGCAGAGACACCTTAAAAATAATTCTAATGTGATATAGTGTGCAGTGATAAGAAAGGTACTTGGAGCAAAGCATTACCTGCATGTTAAAATTAATTGCATGTCTTTTCTGGGGTACTTGATCCCTCCTACTGAGAGACTAAACTGAAGCAGGGTTAACTGTAGAATCCAACTGCTTTCTGAATATAATTTTATTTTAAAATTGCTTAGTGATGGAAAGATTTCCCCTTTATTTAAAAGCAGGCCATCAGACATTTGAAATGCTTTGCTAGAAACAAAGAACACCCAGTCACCTCCCATCCAAACTGTCAAACCTCTTTGCTTTATTCTGCATGCACAGAACACCTTTAATCACAGGGGGGAAAACAAACCCCACTTCTATATATCATCTGCAAGGTGGGTACATTTTCTTGATCATACAGCATGTGAGAAATCAGCTAAATGAACACAAACATTTTCAAAGTTACCCTGCAGAAACAGTATTTACCTCATACAAATCTCCCAAATATCTACACAATTTTGTCTGTAAGTCTTGCTTTTTTCTCTTTTTGTAGTCTCCCATATATATATATATATATGTATACACATATATGTATATGTGTAAATGAGGATTCTCCTTGGGCAGGTCTGTGGCTGGGAATTTGTGTCTGGCTTACAGCCTGTGTGAATTTTGCTAGCTCTTGTTTCCCTGTAATGCATGCCAAACTAGATATCAGAAGCCATTTGTATTAAAGAATGAACTGTTTTGGCTTCTCTACCTGTCCCTTAAGTCGTGTATCACCACCTTATTGTTTAATGCATCTCCAGTGTTACAGATTAGAGATTAATTTCTTTCTTCTCAGTTACTTACATGCAAACACCCTTAGGCTGTTTATTCCCACAGGTAAGCTGTCAGTATACCACTGGCCTATCACAGATCTCTTTCAGCAACACTGATCTTAATTCATTAGAACTGATCCAGCTCCTCAGACCCTAACTATGTCCTGTTGCAAGGAATTACTTTCACTGCAGAGTGACCTTCAGTGAACATGCAGTCCCTGTCCTTAGAGTCATTTCAAGTGCAATCTCCCTTTGACAGCACCCATTCTTGGACTCAAAGTGGCCATTGAGTCCACAGCTGCAACATGCCGTGCAAATCTTGACGAGGTACTGCCATCTCGTCAGGTCTAATTCAAGATCTATAAGAAGGTTCAGGATCAGAGTACAACTGGAGAATCATTCTCTTGGTATCATATAAGGTCTAGACAGAGATAGGCACGCATCCTAGCTGCACACCTGTTAAGCCATGAGATAGCTTCATATTGAGACATATACTTGCAAGCACCAATAAAGTTTTGGTTGATGTTCCACTGTGGGTAATGCAGATTAAGCCCCCTTTCCAGCTGGTGTGTGAATAACGTCCAAGAGTCTTCATCAGAAAACATAGTTATGAACAATACACTTCTAAAGTAAAACCCAAGATCTCGTTGTAGGTGGAAGAAATTCGAGTTGACAGGTTATAGAGCTGCTAAGTTCATCTCTCTAGGCAGCAAACTACGATGACATAGGGAAAACCAGCTTAGGCTACCAGCCATAGCTAGGAAACACGTGCCGAGCATTCAAGTCCACAAAGCCATCAATGACAGGGAGCACTGAGGAGACAAGGGATGACCAGAAATGCAATAGCGACGGCACCAGGAAACAGACTTGGCGGGGCTGAACTCGTTAATCACTAAGGCTAAATAGGCACGCCCTGCTAATAACACTGCCTGCCTTGAAAATTAAGTTCCTGCAAGCCAACGACTCAGGACTTGGAATCCAGGTCGGAAGTGACACAGGGAGCTGCAATCCCACTAAACGTGGCAGCAAGGCTCCCCGTTTAACCAAGACCGGTAGCCGTCCTGGGCAGATCCGTCGCGGAGCGCTCGGGAGCTGGGAAAGGAGCGGCGGCCGGGAGCTGCGGGGTGCGCTGCCCCCTGCGGGCGGGGACCGGCACTGCCGGGGGCACTGCGGGGACACCGCCACGGCCCCGAGTGCCGCGGGGGGACCGTCCCTCTGCCCGCCGCTCACAGCTTCCACCTCCCGGAGCTGCGGAGCCACAGAAACAGTTAGCTCGGGAGAGGCCTTTGAGATCATCGAGTCCAACCTGCGGGTCAACACGCCGCCTTGTCAGCTAGGCCATGGCACTGAGGGACACGTCCAGGGTCGGGGACTCCACTGCCTCCCTGGGCAGCCCGCTCCAGCATCTAATTATCCTTTCGGTGAAGAAATTCTTCCCGATGACCAACCTAAACCTTCCCTGGCGCAGCTTAAGACCATGTCCTCTCGTCATCTTGACCTTGCTGTTCCACTAGTGGCATTTCTAGCCCATATAGCTCCATCCAAGAACTGGAGCGCTTCCAGCATGTCCTCTCAGAGACAATTCCTATTGCTATCCCCATCTGAAGGTTCAAACGCCTCACACCGTCTGAGGATAATTCGCTGGAGGGCTCTTGTCATCTGTATAAGCACAGTTCAATTGGCTGTAAACTTGTACTAAGAAACACAGGTAATGAAAGCTACAAATGAGTCAGCTCCCCGATTAGGGCTCCGTAAGGTCAAATGCACGAAGTTCCACCTCAACATGGGGAAGAACTTCCTTACTTTGAGGGTGGCAGAGCACTGGAACAGGCTGCCAAGGGAGGTCGTGGAGTCTCCCTCTCCGGAGACATCCCAAACCCACCTGGACACGTTCCCGGGACCCCTGCTCTAGGCGACCCTGCCTTGGCAGGGGGGTAGGGCTGGATGATCCCCAGAGGTACCTTTCAACGCCAACAATTCTGTCTTGTGATTTTCTGTACATGTAAGACACTCGTTTGAGGCACTCAGTGCTTAGGGTAGTTAATGGTCTTAAAAAGCAACAGCAAGTGAGACGTTTTTAGTACAGGGCGGGTCGTGGCCGGTAACTACAGGCAGAAGACCGCGCAAGCAGAGGCAGGAGACCACGGTGTCAGCTGGGAAAAGGTCCAGGAGGTGGCAGTGCGGGAGTTTCCCCGCGTGTTTCAGATCACACCTTTTAAGAGACACCCCGGGCCGTGAGGGCGGGCAGGCGCCGCGGGGGGTTCTGGGAGTTGTAGTTCCCGCGCACGGCCCGCCGGGGGGGCGGGGCTCCCACAATGCACCTCGCCCAGCTGTCACGTGACCCCCGGGCCGGGCCACACCGAGCCCCGCTTCCGTGAGGGTTCGCGCGCCTCGGGGGGCGGGGCCTCTCTTCAGGTAGGGGCGTGGCCGGCCGGGGGGGCGGGGCCACCGTGCGGCGGGGGCGGGGTGTGAGGGGGTGTCCGTCGTCTTCCTCCTGCTGCCGGGGCCACGGCCGGCGTCCCGAGGCTCCGCGGTAATAAACCCTCAGCGGGCAGGGCTGTCGTCTCCCCGGGAGGTGAGTGTCACAGGCGCTTCCCCGGCGAGGAGGTGGCGAGGGAGCGCCCGGTAACAGCCCCTCCCACGGCACACGCAGGGCCGGGCAGCGCCCGTGGGTAGCCTGGCACCGGCAATAACAGCCGTGTGACAGCGACAGCTCGGCCGGGGCACTGCCGCTCCCCGTGGAGGAGGTTCTTCGTCACCATCGCTCCTCGGTGTTTTCGTTGGCGTGGGCTCGGCAGACACGGTGTTCTCCAGCAGAAGTCCACGGGACACAAAGCTTGAGATCACGTGGAGGTACCTGTCGGCTGAAGGCTGGTGCAGGAGATTTTAATTACTGCAGGCCTGGGCAGCTTCTCCTGAAAACTGGATTCTCGTGTTCTCAGGAACAAGTGACTGCTCATCTTTGAGGGCTGTATTTCCGTGAGCTGCTTTCCGCCTTGGCTTTTATTGTAAACGCCCGTTTTAATGGATGTTTTCTTACTTTCTTCTCTTCCCTGTGAAGGACAAGATACTAGTCTACATGCACTAAACTGGAAGAAATGGAAGAAAGGAAGATCAAGAGGAGGAGCCCCAAATCATCTACCAGTCACCCTGCCCAGGTTACTAACTCCAAAAAGAGCTCAGTGCCAGTCAGTAAGAGTACAGCCTTTTCCAACCCTGCCCCACAGCCTGCTGTGCAGAAACCAAAGTTGAAACGGTAAGCTTGGGGGCATCTTGCAAGCTCAGAGGAAATGAGAGCCAGAGACTTGTCAGTGCTAAAGGATGTTTAGACTGGCTGTGACAGTCTTGTGAACGTTTTTGATGATGTATCTTTTTTTACAAGTGATTTGTGTTTAATGCAGTATAATGGTTATTTTACAGAAAAGGAAGGTGCTCACTATTCTTCTTGTAAGCTTTAAAAAACGTAACACGATGCTGTAGACTCGTAACAATTCACCTGAAGCAGGGGACTGTTGAAAGACAGAGCTGGGCACCAGATAGCAGAGCCCAAGATGCACAGCTGTGAGGAACAAATACAGTACATGACTGCAAGGCTGGAACTGACAAGTATGGCAGGAAACGAAGGACATAAATTGAGCAGGATGAGCTAGAACTGGAATTTCTGGGTGTTTTTTGATTGGGGACCTCTCAGCTGGGACAGGATCTTGCGTAAGGAGAGACATTCAGTTCTTCAGAAAGTACCACGTCAGAGTAGTTTGTGTTTTATTGATACCATATCTATTTCAGTTTGAGAACATCAATTTTTGTGCATGTTACAAAATATGCTGTGGCTTGGCTGTGGCTGACAGAGCAGATAAATAAGCGAAGAGGGATTTTAAAGTGAAATGTCAGCTAGAGGGAGGCAGCAGAGTTTACTGACCTCTTGAGTATTAGCTGAAGATTAAATACAGAACTGCCATCATTAGCACAGAAACTCTGAAGGAACTGGTATTGTCCTGATGAATTTCTGCAAAGTAAAGGCTATATGTTATTTTTCAGGAAAAATGTGTCAATATTTTGAGGCAAATATTAGTAAATACTAATGTGTCATAAGTTGGTGGTTTCTTCAGCTGACTGTACAGTCTCAACATTATTCTGGAATGTACTAGAAATTATTTTCTTGCAGTCCACAAGATTATCTAGAGAAAAAAAAAAGTCCTTTCTGCTTTAAGTTCTGGACATTTTTGTGCAATTGTTAAGCTTACCAAGCAGTGCTGACACAGACACTTTCTTGAACTTTCCAAGCAGGAGGGTTAATTGACATAACTGTGTGAGGATTAACTGCTGTTGTGATAGTGGCGGAGAAGTATTTAATTAACTTTCGTTTAATCTACAAGAATCTAAGTAACTTTTCCAGGAACAATAATACATTTTATTAAAGAGCAGAAGCAGGTGAAAGAAATGAATGACCTTCCTGTCATGGAAACTTTTAGGTCTGAAATTGAAGCAGAACTAGCTAATGTTAAACTTGAATTGAGAAGTTGCTGCTCTTGAGTTGAACCAGATACCATTGTTGGACTGCTGATTTTTTCAGCATATAGACTATGGGCACATGGTGCTCTGAATAAATGTTATGTCTAGAGAAAAGTGTTTGAGATCCAGAAATTTTGATGTTTTCTTGCAGGAAAGGCTGTAGAGAATTTTTAGCTCATCCGATGTTTGTTGCAGTCTGTAGGTGTTTGCAACAACAGAAGTGTATGATTTTTAGGGGTTTCTCTCTGGCTTAGAGCTTGCAATAGGTTTTTGAGTGATTTTATGTAGATAATGGCTGCCTGGGTAACTGGTGGAATCAACATTCCCGGAAATGTTCAAAAAACGTGTGGATGTGGCACCTGGGGACTTGGTTTAGAAGTCAACATGGCAGTGCTGGGTTTATGGTTGGTATGATTTTAGAGGCCTTTTCCAGCCTTTACAATTCTGTGATATTGCCTCACATGTCACTGCTGGGTAATGATGGTCCACTTTGGATTATTAAGATGGCCATCATATACATATGGTCCACTGATGCTTCCTACCACTAGTAGGAGAGCAGATTGTTGGAATCTTTCATTTTGCAGTATCAAACTGTTAAGAGAGCAATGTCCTTTATTTTTAAGACAAGCTGGTGGTGATGCAGTTTTTATCTTAAAATGAGTGATTACGTATTATATATTTCCCGTTTTGTTTTTAAAGCCTGGATGTATACTTTTCTTACATTGCAGATTCACAGTGAAAGTGAAAGCAGGAAGTAATATTGGGTTTGTTTATTTTTTTTTTTTCCAGAGTAATAAAAGAGAAAGCCAAACCTCCAGGAGGTGAAGCAAAAGGGGCGCAGGCAGCACCAATCCAGCATTCTTTTCTCACAGATGTATCAGATGTCCAGGAAATGGAAAGGGGACTTCTGAGTCTCTTGAATGACTTCCACTCTGGCAAACTTCAAGCATTTGGTAAGTGCATGAATTGAGTGTGTGGTTTCTGTAGCTGTACAGTAGTAACATTTGCTAACAAGTGCACTGCATGGACAGACTTGAACTGCATAGCTAGTTTGTCAGCTGGACTCTGCCATGTGAAATTAGGTTTAACATAATTAATACATCTTACTGCATTTTTAAATTACGGTCCCATTTTAAGGTTGTGCTTGTTTTGAGATTATTCGTATGCCATTTAATTGTTCCTTCTAGCATGGAAGCACCTTGGCTTATTTTAATTTAAGATACCAAGTCTAAAGCCTTGACCGAGCTATTTATGACGGTGTAGGAAGAAGTAACTGTATTTAGCACCCAGTTTTGCTGCATATTAACACTTTTGACTATTGGTAACAACTTTTATGAAATCCAATGCAAGCTGCATTTTATCCAGCTTATTCTGCTTAGTTTCTTACTATTCTTACTGCCTCACAGTTGATGGAGGTTTCAGAAAAAACATCACACATTTTTGCTTCTTTTTTTCCTTGCACTAAGTAGAAAGATGCAAACGTGCTTTTGCAAGTTTAGTGTTAGGTCAGTGTGTCATGTTAACTC